GAGATTGTGGGTTCAGTTCCAGCCACTGTAATAAAGGAAATATTGCAATGGAGAGTCACATGAATTTTTTATTCCCAATGTGTGTAAAAGTTATGTTTACAACTACACTGTAGACTATTCAGTGTACAATAGCATTATGAAAAAGTTTAAATATTGCAAGCATTACCAAAATGTGACACAGAGACATACTGTTGGGAAAATGGCACTGACAGTTTTCCTTATTTATTTATTTATTTTAACTTGAAAGAGGGAAATGTATTAGCCAGAGGAACTCTTGTTCCGATAGATTTGCTTTTATCACACAAGTTTGTCAGAAACCTTTGATTTATAAAAATCTCAGTATCTGTCAAGAGCAATAAATCAAAATGCAATGAAATAAGGTGTGCCTTTGTGTAGATCCAAAATCATTGCTACAGAATCGATTCTGAATCATAGTCTACTTCCATTGGTTTTCCTTTAAAGGAGATTGCCCATCCTTCTCCTGTGGAGCTGGTGGATTTGAACCTTTGGCTTTTTGGTTAGCACACTATGACACTGGAGTTCATTATGCCTGTGTATAGATAGATACTTTATGTGAGGTCCTTTAGTGGCACAAGTAGTTTGTCCTAGGCTGCTAATCAAAATTTAGCAGTTGAAATCCACTTGGTGTTGTGATAGAAAGACCTGCTTCAGTAAGGGTTATAGCCAAGAAAATTCTAGGGAGCAGTTCTACTCTGGAACACATGGCGTTGCCATGTGTAAAAATCCACTCAGTGGCAATGAGGGGGGCGGGGTTTGGTGGTTATTTGGTGATTGTTCATAATCAAGTCATTTCCAAATCAGCAATCCATGTATGCAGAGTGGAACTGCTTCATGGGTCTTCTACAGCCTCATCAACTGCTGGTGTGTTCTCCCTCTGTGGGTGGGTGTAAGTAAATCATTGCCATTCTAATAGAGGGAAGGGATGTTCCATCTTTCCAATGACTAGCATCTTTTCATGTACTTGTTGGTCATTTGAATGTCTTCTTTGGTGGCTTGTTGGCTTTCTTTGTCCTGTTTTAAAATTGAGTTGTCTTTTTTGTTGTTATGTTGAAGTGTTTTATATATTTTGGATATTGAACTTTTACTAGCTATATGGTTCCCTCAGATTACCCCCTAAACTGTAGAGGTTTTCCCCACCACGTTGATAAAAGTCCTTTTGATGAAGGAACAATAATTTTTATAAGGTCTCATTTATTTATTTTGTTGCTTATGTTTTCATTGTTACATTTTATAATCCATCATTAAACTAGGCTCAGGCACTTCCCAGTATTTTCTTCAAAGAACTTAGTGATTTTAATTTTCACATTTAGGTCCTTGATCCATTTTGAATTGGTGTCTTTGTATATAGTGTGGTGGGTGGTGGTGTTATGTGCCATTGAGTCAACCATGACTCAAACTGTGTGTGGCATAGATTAATTTTCTGCGTGTGGAAGTGTAGAATTCATAAAACCATTCATTGAAGAGACTTCTTTCCCCAGTGGATGGACATTCTTGTCTAAGATTAGTTGACCACAGAGATTTAGACACCACCTGTTCTTGAAGCTTTTCTTTCCTTTTCTTCTTTCTAACTATACTATGTATCCTCTCCTTAAACCTTTCCCTTCTTTCAGTGTGACATCTCTACATTAACCCATCCTGTTTGGCACCATAACTACTGAGTATCTGCTCAGGGCCAGGGGTGTGCAGTCTTGTATAGAGAGACAGGAAAAGAATACTGCTTACAGGATAAGCAATGTTATTGTTACGTGCCATCAAGTTGCCTGCGACTCATAGAGACCTTATGTACAACAGCTCTGAAGCCTGCCCTGTCCTGAGCCAGTCTCACTGACTCCAAAACACCAACTCCCCCCATTGCCCTAATTACTGTATCAATCCATCTCATCCAGGGTTTTTTTTTCTCCTACACTGTCCCTCCACTCTTCTGATCATGATGTCATTCTTAGGACCAGTCTTTCCAGGCCACGTGCCCAGAGTATGAGTCAGAGCTTAAAAATCCTAGCCTCCAAAGAGAAACTTGGTTTCACACTCTCCAAGACACACTTACTTGCAAAGAAAGGTGGTCTATGGTATTATGTTCAAGGCTCTTCTCTAACACTACAACTCAAAGGCATTAATTATTCTGTCATCCTTAGTCATTGTCCGGTTCTCTGATGCATAGCAAGTAATTGCAAAGACCATAACCTAGATCAGGTGCACCTTAGTCTCTAGACTGACATGGTTGTGTCTTAGTACTCTGGAGAGGTCCCTGATAGCACATTTTCCAAATGCAATTTGTTTTTTTTGTTTCCTGACTGCTGGTGCAAAGAATGTTGATTGTGGAGATGAGCAAGCTGAAATTGTTAACAACCTCAGTCTCTTCTCCATCTATCATGGTGCTGCCAGTTGGCCCAGTGGTGAGAATCTTTGTCTTCTTGATGTTGAGCTTCAATCCACATTGAAGACTATAGTCCCTGACCTTCTGCAGCAAGTACTTCAGGCCCTCCTCACTTTCAGCAAACAAGGTTGTGTCATTTCCATAAGGTAGATTGTTGATGAGTCTTACTGTAATCCTCATGCCACATTTCTCCTCATAAAGCCCCACCTCACGAATGATCTGTTCTGCATATAGATTGAAAAGGTATGGAGACAGTACAAATCTGACTTACTCCTTTCCTAATTTTGAACAATGCAGTGTTTGTTTCCTTGTGAGGACTGCTTCCTGGTCAAATAGGTTTTGCATGAACACAATCAATACAAGTGTTCTGGGATTCCATTCTCCTCAAGGTCAGCCACAATTTGTTGTGATCCACACAGTCAAATGCCTTTGCATAGTCAATGAAACACAGATAGAGATTCCTCTGGTACTCTTTGCTTTCTGCCAAGACCCATCAGACATTGGTGATAATGTCTCTAGTGCCACGACCTCTTCTAAACCTAGCTTGTACTTCTGGTAGTTCTCTGTTAGTGTACTGTTCCAGTTGTTTTTATATAATCTTCAGCAGTATTTTGCTTGCATGTGATATTAGTGATATTGTTTGATAATTTCCATACTCTGTCAGGTCAGGAAATTTTTTTTTTAAATGGGAATAAATACAGATCTCTTCCAGTCAGTTGGCCAGGTAGTTGTCCTCCAGATTTCTTGGCAACCTGGTGAGTATGTCTATGGCAGCATCTATTTATTGAAATATGTTGATGATTATTCCATCAATTCCTGGGACCTTGTTTTTTGCCACGTCCTTCAGAGCAGCCTGTACTTCCTCTTTCATCACCATTGCCTCTTGATCACAATATTGTTTGAAATTCTTCTATGTCAGCCAATTCTTTTTGGTATGGTGACTGACTCTGTGTGCGCCTTCTGTCTTCTTCTAATGCTTCCTGAATCATTCAGTATTCTGCCCATAGGATCCTGCAACATAGCATTGCAACTTGTGGCTTGAATTGGTTCTTTAGTTCCTTCAGCTTAAGAAATGACAAGTAATAGTGGCATTAAAACAAAATGACAAGATGAGTACTACCAGTATCAGTAATGTCAGTATTTTAGAAATGTTCAGAGTTCATTAGATTTTTAAAAATCAGTGAAACTAGGCATTTAAGAGATTTCAAATATATTTATAAACTGATTATAGACTGTCAGTCTGCTTGCTGATGATCTGGCTGCTGTTTGCTTTAACTTCAGGCCTGTTGGCTTCTGGGCATGAGGAGCTCCTCTCATCTCTGCTGTAGCTGGTTCCATTGGGCTTAAGTGCACTCTTGTTCCACTGAGAGGGGATTTCCTAAACCACTGCATTTGGGTCACTCTTCCTTCCACAGACTGCAGAGCTTCTGTTGCAATTGTGATTTCATTCTCTGAAAACCTGTTCTCATTTTTCTTCTCTGGAGGATTTCTCCCCCTTGGATTTATGTTTATTGTTACCTCCCCCCTTCTCCACTTCCTTTCATTGTTACCAGCTTTTTTCCATTTTTTGTGTGTGAAGGTGCTGTTGTGTAGGTGTAGGAACTAAGTGGAAGCCATTTAGAGGCTTGTGGGGTGCAAATTTGGAAAAGGAGCACTGGAAGGGAATGAGGAGAGAGATTGGAGGGAAATACGTGTGAACAGAACCACCAGCCTGACCTGTGTCTGAAATAATAATGTTTTGTTGTTGTTGTTGTGTGCCATTGAGTCACCTGCAACTCACAATGACCCTATGTACAATAACTTTGAACCCTGTCCTATCTTGAGCCAATTTCATTGTCTCTGACACACCTACCTTCATCGGCCCAGGTCCTGAGTCATCTCGTCCAGGGTCTTCCTCTCCTGCACTGTCCCTCCACCCTTCCAAGCATGATGTCCTTCTCTAGGGACTAGTCCCTCCCTCCTGGCAACAAGTATGTGAGACAGAACTTCAAAATTCAAAATACCTGTCTGCTGTCATCACCAAACAGCATGACTAATGCTTTGTGATTGAGAAGGGAGACATCCATCCCTATCTGAGGATGGCAAAATGGAGGTTGGATTAAGAGGAGGTGGAGGGGATGATTTTTGAGCTGAGTATTGAAGGATGAGTAGATGGCAAAGAGGAGAAGTGTGGAGACAGGACAGTGTGTGCCATCACCTGGGGGCAGAGTAAGTATGATCAAGCTCAGTCCTGAAAGGATGCAGATATTGAGTATTTCTCCTAAACCATCTGGTCTTGCTATGCTTTGCTAAATAACCAGGCCTTATCTCAGGTATCTTGTTGATGAACTTACAGAGGTGGGAATATTATCTTCCCTGTTGGAGAGCAGATCATCTTCCTCTCTCCTCTTGGTGATTTGCATAAATAGATGCTCACTAGGGAAGAAAATTTCCCCTTTGAGAACTTAGACACTTGATTGTCATCATTCACCTCTGTCACCAACTCCTCTAAGCCTGGGACTTGTGGGCCATTTGTCTTTGAAGTCTCTTAGTGGCCTGTGCACGGGGGCAAGCCCCTGAGTGCTGCTATGGAGCTTGATCACCTCCATTCCTTTTTCTTCCGCAGCCTAGTGCAAGCAGAGTACTGGCACGACCCCATCAAGGAGGACATGTACCGCAACCACAGCATCTTCCTGGCGGATATAAATCAGGAGAGGGTGAGCACCCACACTAGACTGCCGTAGTCATGCATTCTTTGTTCTGTTCAGAATATCATGAATAAAACAGCAGTGACTAACTGCCCAAAATAACATGAGCAGAGCCCAGGAAACAGAAGTTCTTTTTTCTAGGAGGCTGTGCTTATGACATGATTTCATTCCTTTTAGGGAAGTTGAAATGATTTGGCTTTCCTCCCCCCTAAGTCTTTTTCCTTTCCTAGTGTTGAAGAAGCAGGATAAGCCCAGTTTTCTCCATGAGTTAAGTAGAAATTCCTAGTGGTTGTCTTAAAGCCTTCCTGGTGGGTCCCTTTTGGAAAAAGTATTTTCAGAAGGGATATTTACCAACTGCAGGAGGGACTGGATATATCACAGACTTCGCTTAGGAGAGTCTAGTTAACTAGATGGCTCAATAGTATATTTGCCTTATTTTTAAAAAGCAGGAGATGTTAAGGAAAATAAAAAGACTAGTATCACACAATAGTGCAATGGATGCCATCATTGGTGGACAAGTACTTATCAGGCAGGATGGGCAAGAAAGGCTGTAAAATGAATAAATTCATTCTGTTGTGTTGGAACCAATTCATGCTGACCCTCCAGGTTTTCAGAGGCTCTAAATGCCTGGGAGATTGCCTGTCTTTCTCCCTAGAAGCTACTGGTGGCTTTGAATCACCAGGAAGGCGCATCCTTTGAGCCAGCAGTGCACATCCTGACTTCCATCACCAGAGCTCCCCTTGGAAAAAGAGACACGGTAGCCCAGAATCAGGGAGATGGTCCACTGAAAGGCTGCAGTCCCCCTACAGGAATCCCTTGGTAGTGTCCTGAAGTACTGCTTCTTTTTTTTTTTCAGGGTGTCAACGAGTCTTACAAAAAAAACCTGATGGCTTTGAAGAAGTTTGTGATGGTCAAATTCCTCAATGATTCCGTTGTGGACCCTCTGGAATCTGAGGTGAGACTCCCTAGAATGCAGCATGCCAGTAGACTATAGTTGTAAATGCTGGGAACATGCCTTCAGTTCTTCCCACTAGCCTGTGGGTAAGGCAGGAGTTTTTCAGTCCAGGACCATAAATACATCATTGACTGTTTTAACCTCCTGAAAGTATATGTTCCTCCCTCCCTCACTGCTGTCAAGGTGGTTCCAGTGACCCATTTTTCTCCCATGGAGCTGCTGGTGACCTTTGGTGGTTTGAATCCACCAGGAAAGATGGATAGTCTCCTCCCTTTGTGATTTACACGTTCGGAATCCAGATGGAGGTTCACTTTGAGTAGGAACTGACTTGATGAAATTGATTTTGCTTCTCTAGTGGAAGGAGCTATAATTTTCATGATTCTCAAATGAACCTGTTGTTGTTGTGTACCGTAGAGTCAGAACTGACCCATAACTGCCCCTCTGGTAGGTTTTCAGAGGCAGTAAATTGCATGGGAGGAGATTGTCCATCCTTTAGCAGAGCAGCTGGTGGTTTTGAAATGTGTGCCTATGGGATTGCAATGCAGCTTTCTGCCACTAGGCTACCAGAGCTCCCTTCAAATGGACCTATAAGCCAAGAAAGATCAGAACCACTAGTTCAAAATCTTTAAGTTCCTAAGCTTGGTGTTTAGGGTCTACCCTAAGCTTTATCCTAGCAGTTTTAGGAAATGGAAAAAAAAATATGAACTTTTCCTTTAGGTCTCAATTTTAAGAAGGAGAAGACTTGGCACAAATACTTTTCCTTCTTGCTACAGGTTTATGTTCAGTCTGTTGGTGGTTTTAGCTCCTTTCAAAAACTCATCCTCATATATAATTTGCACAAGAGGAAATTGCCTGTCTGCCTGTCGAGGAGCTGCTGGTAGACTGAACTACTAAGGGAGGCTGGCTTTTGGGTAGCAGCACAACTCCCCCTAAGACTATGCTGCCAGAACTCCCTGGTCTTCGTTGGGCAGTGTGCTCGGTTCATGATCTGACCTTGACTCTTTCTCCCTTTCTGCAGTGGTTTGGATTTTACAGAAGTGGCCAAGGCAAGGAAACTATCCCTTTACAGAAGACCACTTTGTACCTGCAGGTAAAGGATAATGTTTATTTTGTTTAAGGTCTGACACCTCCCTTTTGATAGAAAGATTTAGAATTGATTTCCTTTGCTGGAGTAGATTCTACTACAGCCCCCAAACACAATGAATGTGTACAATGGAGAATTTCTTTTAAAACATCAAGTAAATTTGGAGGGTGTAGCATATAGCAGTGCTTGACACATAATTAAGAATCAGTAGTTCAGTGACACAGACCTCACCTTTCATACATGAGACCAGCCTTCAGGTACCTCATACATAGCCACCACCTATCACTGCCCGATTTTGTATGGTTGTGAGAGTCAACAATTTTAGTAGCACATCCCCAAGAAGACAGACTAAAAAGCCCAATTATCTTTTTCCAGAAATCAGCCATTTGAAATAGTGTGGCTCACAATGGTTATCATCCTATTGTCCTTAAGTCTCCATGAGTCAGGGGTGTTGTAGGTAATAGTAGATGCAGAAGTCAGTGCTAGGGTCCCCTTTTAAATAGGAATTGACAGGCCATGCTCCTCATGCAGGAAGTTGAATGGAAATAGTTGTTGTTAAGTGCCGTCGAGTTGCAGGAGACTTATAGTGACCTTATGAAGGAGAGTCCTCAACACTTGTGTCTTTCATCCTCTCTCCAGGTTCATAGGGTTTCCGGAAGCAAGCTATTATGGAAGCTTCCAAGCTTGTTTTAATCAGGGAGCTCCACCCCACCCTGTCCGCATTGGGTCACCAACCATTAACACATTTGACACATCAGTGTCACAGTGTTCAGCCGCATAGCAACTACAAGTTACCGCTGTATGGCAAGTGGACCCACCAGGGCTATACGACCTAGAGGAATGTCTAAACAGAAACAATGAAAGACAGGCCCGAAGGCCACGGATTAAAAGTCACCCACCTTTGGCTTGGTAGCATTGCTTTCTGTCCACTGGGCCAAGGGATCTCTATGTTGATGTTATTAAGTGCTGTTGAGTCACAGGCGACTCATAGCGATCCTATGAAGGAAAGTCCTCAATGCTTGTGTGTCTTTCATCCTCTCTCCAGGTTCATAGGGTTTCTGGAGGCAAGCTCCTACGAAAATGGATACCACTCCTGCTTCCAAGCTTGTTTTTCAATGGAAATAGATGTGCCAATATTCTGTCATTTCCAACTGTGGAAACTTTAAAGGGTTTTTCATTAGGAAAGAAGACTCTTCCAAGCATGCATAAATGCTGCATCTGTACTAATCACCTACTAGAGTTCCCTCAGATAATTTCAGAAGTCTGTTTTCGTTTTCATTTGTTGCCCCTTTCTGGGTGAGGTAAAAGGGAGGCTGCTGGGCACTGTTGAGTCAGTTCCAATTCATAATGACCCTATAGGACAGGACGAGATACTGCTCAGCACTGCACTCTCTGTGGGAGCCCACTGTGAGAAATAGCGTTTATCCGTTTTGTTGAGGGTTTCCTTTTTTTGTTCCCTGCCAACCATGATGTCCTGCTCTGAGGACTGGTCCCTCCTGATAACATGCCCTAAGTACAGGACATGAAGTCTTGCCATCCTTGCTTCTAAGGAGCATTCTGGCTGTACTTCTAAGGCAGATGTTTGTTCTCTGGCAGTCCTTAGTATGATGTTCTGTGCCATTGATTTGGAACCAACTCATAGCTGACTCTGCAGTGAGTTTTTAGAGGCAGTGGGAGACTGCCGATCTTTATCCCATGGATTCGAACCACTTGCCTTTAGATTGCAGTGCAGGTGCTTACCACCAGAACTCCCTACTTTTTAGTATACACATTATTCATCAGCATTGTATTAAGTCAAAGGCATCAACTGTTCTTTGGCCTTCCTTATTCCGTGTCCAGCTTTGCATGCATGTGTATCTGCTGAAAATACCATGGCTTGGGGCAGGAGTGCCTTCATCCTCAAAGTGACATCTTGGTGGTGTTGGGGTTTGGTTTTTTTTGTTTTTTAACATTTAAAGGTCCTTTGCAACAGATTTGCTCAGTAAATATGTTTGAGTTCTTAACTGTGGCTCCCAAGCATGTTGATTGTAGATCCAGGTAAAAAGAAATCCTTTACAACTATATTATTTTCTCCATTTAACACGTTGCCGCGAAAGACTGTAATACATTGGAGAGAGAGAAAATGTGTTTCTAAGCACAGTCATCAATTTAAAAGTGGGCGGCAACGTGTTAATTAGAGAAAGGGAAGTTAAGGTCTGATAGCAATGTTAAAAATGACAACTGTATAGAACTTCCTTATTGTGAAACTCCAATTGCTGGTAGCCATGGCAGAAGTACCATCAGAACTGCTTATTTTACCAGCTTTGAACGTGAATGTTCTGTGCTCCTAGCACGTGAGGAATGGCATTGTATGAAAACGTCCCAGATTTGGCATCCAACAGTTGGATATGTTTAAGTCACCTAGCTATTAGTTCAACTTTGGATCAGTCAAAACAGGACATTTTGAGGCAGTTGTTCTTGAGACATTCTCCGTAAGCTTTGGAAAACTTCTGAGAAAGCAGAATGTAAAACTATGTATCAAACAGTGTCAAGTGTGCTCAGCAACCCTCCCCCCAACCTGGAAAACCAAAACTTTAACAAGGTACCTTTTTGGCATTTTATAGACGTCAGTTACTTTAATACTCAAGAGGTGGGGGAAAGCCTTTTGTGAATATGTCTCAGTATTCTGTTAATGTTCAGTAACTCTTGACTATGGTCTCTCCTTCTGTAGGACCGCTTGGGGCTAAAGGAAATGGACAACGCAGGGAAGCTAGTTTTTCTGGCTACACAAGGGGACCATCTCCAGCTGTCAGAAGAATGGTTTAATGCACACATTATCCCCTTCCTCAAGTGAAACCTTGCAGTTTGCCCAGAAGCCAAGGGAGCCACTTCCACATGGTGTGGAGATAGTTCTCTCTGTGCCCAAACCTGAGCTCAGATCCAGCTTGCAACTAACCCTTTTCTCCTGTCATCATCTAACATGTCTTGCTCAGAAAGATCTAAGATCCAAATCTTATCCTTTGTCTCATCCTATCACCATATGGTATTGAGTGCAAATTTAATTAGTTAATAACCATGGATTGTTTTACAGCCCTTTTGTGGTCTAGCTCATTGTTCAGAAAAGGAGTCTACTGCAGATCAATGTCAGAACTGCTCCCAGACCCAGAGGAGAGGAAACTAGAGCAATGAGCTAGATGCTAAGGGCAGATACTTTTCTGGGGGGCTTTAGGAAAGTCAAGTCTGCTCACATTTCTCAGGCCCAACTTGCATAAATATTCAATTTCGCTGGTGACATAACTTGAGTTTGGAAAAGTACTGCTTGGTTACTTTTTGCCTTTGTGGGATTTTAGCAATTACTATACAGATTACCACCTTCACCCCCACCCGCCCTTGCACACATTTTGTCTGGCATAAAAAGAGGGGAGGTAACACTCTGTGGAGTTGCTTAAGGGAGATGTATATCTTGTTAACTGTGGGGGCAGGAGGTTGTTAGAAGTGAAAAAGGAGACAGCTCTTCTTCCAGTTTGATCCTGGACTGACCCTGTACTTGGTTTTCTTCCGTGACTAATGGTATGGATTCTCGTCATTGCTGCTGGTGTTAGCAGAGAATGGGAGAAAAAAAATGTGAAGAGCTCATGGTTGCTAACTTCCATCCCTTAACACTCTGTAAACATTTACCAGCATACTCCAAATGATTTTTGATGTGCTCTGTGGAAAAAATGCTTGGGAAATGAGGGCTACTTTTCACCCGTGGTGATCAACTCCCATTAGATTAAGGACTCTGAGAATTCTTGTCACAGTAAAGAAAACTAAGCTGAATTTACCATTTCCCACATTATTTGTGCCTATTTCTGACCCCCAAAACCTGTCAACAGTTTCTGTAAGACTTCTGCAGAATGTTAGTGTGGGAAAATAATCAGCTGTGGTTTGATAGAAGCGTCCTGCCAGTGCCACAAAATGTACCACTTTCCTTTCCCTCCCACAAGCCTTATTCTTCAACCAAAAGGTGAGGATAAAGGGCAACAGGACGGTGTGGAACATTTTTTTTATGAGGCTGAAATAAAAAGTACTTTCTTATCTTTGGTGTCACTGTTGTTTTCAGCATTCTATATCCTTATTTAGCAAAGATCACAATAACTGAGCAAGTTTGGTATTAACTTTATTCTATTTTCTGTATAACTTTAAGTACATAAAGGTTTATTTCCACAGGCCTCAGGAATGGGTAGAAGTCACAGGACAATGTGTTTTACCACCAAAACTGTTGCACATTTTGGTGTTTGTCCTAGAGGGAGAAACTGAAATTTACACTTGCAATGCTGTGCAAGATTCTTACAGAAATCAAGACCTAAATCCAGCCTGCAGTGGAGGTTTTAGTACTCTGTTCAGGTGCCCTGACAGAAGCCATAAGCGGTTGAGCATGACAGGAGAAGGGAGGCAATGACAATGGATGACAGGCACCTAGCATGAAGAAGGAAGGAATGCCAGATTTCTTGGAATGGTGTATTCTTGTTTTCCCTTTTTAAAAAGTCATCTCTTTAGGAAGGTGCTAAGCAGGGATCCCAGAGAAAAAAGTTCCATGACTCCTTTCAAATGCCCAGGGTGCAGGGCACTGCTGTAGAAGAACCCACTATTTCATAGTTTGGGCAGATCCAGGATGGAAAGCAAAATAAAGGGAATGCTTATAGGAAACAATTTTGCTTGGAATGCTAGATGGCCAAGCCTCAGCCTTTGGTCCAGTGCAACCCTTACCTCATTCATTTATCAACAATGAAAAATTAGTTTGGTTAGAAGAACCAATTGGAATCATATCAGCTTCTGCTACTCTCATGTGCATTATTAGAAAATGATTAACTTGTTTGAACATTCTGATCTGTTAATTCCTAGGGACTGTTTTATTCTTCCCAAAGACTTGGTAGACAACTCTCAAAAGTTGAAAGTGATAACCAGTATACTAGTCTGCAGTTCCTTAAGAATGAACTGGTGGAGTGGTTGAACTGATATGGAAAAGCTGCACCTTCCCGCAGATGACCAACTGACCTGCTATCCCACCCCAATTCTTAGCCTGAGGTATATTTCAGTGAAGGCAGGTAGCTGTTCTTCTCAAAAGCAGAGAAGCAGTTTTAAGAGCAGAAAGGTAGAGGAGATCTAGAAAAGAACCGTTTTGATACAGATTTATCCCAAGGTGTGAAAGGAGAGGGCAAAGAACCCAGTGGCACTTCGCTTATCCAGCAATTTCTGTCACTGTGGTGACTAACTTCTGCCCATTCCATAGAG